CACCCCACCCTTCGGCACCTGAAAAAAAAAAGTTTTTTTTTTTTTTTTAATTGGGGGGAAAAAAAAAAAAAAAAAAAAAAAAAAAAAAAAAAAAAAAAATTGATTGCCATGGTGTGCCTTGCACACTTGACATTTCTTTTTCACCACCTCATCATTTCTGGAAACATTTCTTTCTCCAAATTTCTTTATGCTTATCTTCGGCAACTTCATTGAATGTTGTGTTGTTACAGGGAGGCTGGGTAATTGTGAAAGCTGTCTGGAAATGTTCAACGTTAATAGTTCATTGAAGAAATGTCAAAAAGCTCAAATCCAAATAAAGTCCCAAGTCTTTTGATTTGATCAGGTTTAGCCAAAAGTCATTAAATTTGTCATATACAAATGTTTTTTTTCTGCACATATTAGTTGAAACATAAAAAACAAAATCACTTCAGTTCCTGTCCTTATCAGTCAAGGACCATAATAAGGCAAAACCATTTAAGTTTACCTTTTCATCACCAAGCTTGAATGTACGTTCTTTTGCATGAATGTGGTTCTGTAAAGCATTTATGAAAGTCAGAGTTTTTCCTGCAACTGGCAGAAGCAGACAAACTGTGCAATCAATCTGACAAATGCTCAAGAAAAAAATGGTCAAGGAGTTGAGCTGATTAAAGTGCCACAGAAAATTTTAAGTTTGTTATGAAGGAAAAATTGTCTTTTGAGAACCCAGTTTTAGATTCTAGTACCAAGATGTCATTTCAAACTGGCCTTTCATGAAAAGTGAGTGTAATGTCACAGTATTTCTGATACTCAACATTATTCACTGTAGTTCCAGTCTGATAACACTGGTGAGGAACAACTCATCATGCACACACATGAGCACACACACACACACAGACTCTACAGAATCCTTCTCTTGGTGCATTTTTCAGACAAGTGACTGAACTGAACTATCTTAACTGAATATACAATTGCATGAGTCAATATCTGACTCTGGGACAGAGACAAGTTACCTCACAATGTGCTCCAACCAAACATTGTAATGTTCTTTACATCTCATTGTATTGTTGTAAACACATTTTCACTGTGTGAGCGGAACCGTCTCGTCACTTAGGAAGCTGCGAATTGGAAGGAACAAGGAGTGACTTCTTGTGTGTGAGCATGAAAACCAGTCCTGGATCAGAAAAACGATGCTTAAACATAGTGGCAACGGAGAGAAACGGTTTTGCAGTCCTTTTCCTCGCAATGAAGAAATGCAAATAAGACGTTTTTAAAACCCGACAGAGTCAGAATTGAAAAAAAAATAATAATAATAACTTTCACAGCTGGAAAACAAACTCCATTCACCACACACAACATGTAATTTGTATGAAAAACTTATGTTAATTTATTCTCCACTAAACCATATGGACCAGACCTTTCCTCCACATAAAAACTTTCCAGACGATTTTTCCATGTTTTCCAAGGTGTGACTCTGGCCAGTGTCTACTGCTCACAAATTCTGACCTTTAAATAGAAGAACAACTTTTTGTCATTTCTTTTGGCATGACCAGTGCTGCAGTATACAACAAGCTAGCTAGCTAGTTAGACAGACAGATTACTAGCTAGCTGGATAGCTAGATAGACAGATAGGTAGATAGATAGATTTTGGTACTGCAGGATATAAAATACAATATTGATGCCGTTACAAGTTTCCTTTGCTTCTGGGCATCCATTTGTCCAAATACACTAATATCAAATGAAATTGCACTCAGTGGCTATACATTGGTCTCAAGGCCATTCATGTCAATAGTGCAGTGTTCTTTGCTCTTCTTCAGATATCTTGGAGGAATGGGAGGTTTCTTTTTGTCTGAAATCTGCTGAACACCTTCCTCAAGCTGCATTAGTCGAGCAACATCAGGAGGGATGAGCTTGTGTTTGACTCCTGAGGAAGGCGGTCGAACGTTCCCATTGTTGTTGTGGCAGTTCATTGTGGGTGGGGGATTCAGTGGGATTTTAGCCTCACAGACCAGAGGTACCTGTGGACAGGACATTAAAAAAAGTACTTACAAAATGCAAAACAAACAAACAACAAAAAAACCCAACAGTTTTTGTTTCTTTTTGTTTTGTTTAAACAACTCCAGAGAATTTAACACAGTAAAAAGGAAAATCCAACTGAAAAAATTAAAGTTTTAAGCTGAAACTTTAAAAGGAAATTCAACCATCAATACTCAATAGAAATGTGATTACAAATAATCAGACTTTGACTGAATCATTGTTTGTTGATAAATGTTTGACAAAGAATTATGTTTTGCAAATTTAAAAATATGATGTTGATTCATGTTTAAAAAATCAAAACAGAATGGATTTTTTTTCAATGAAAGGTTTTAAACAGAAGTATAAACAACCAATGAATTAGAACCAACCCCATCTCCCTCTTTCATGAAATCTTTCCTGCAGATGTGTGCCATGATGCCTGTGGCCAAAGCATCCCCCATTACATTTACCATCGTTCGGAATCTGTCCCTGCAAAGGAGAGAAAGGGAAGTCGAATCAGAAATGCAGCGACTATGCAGCAAAAATGAAGCCGGTATGCTCAGCCCAATGGGTTTTTAGAGAACATTAGTAAAAAGAAGCATGACCTACAGTGCCCAGTCCACTGCAATGATGAGGGTGATGTCATCAGTGGGCAATCCAACAGATGTCAACACAATTACCATGGTGACCAGTCCAGCTTGTGGTATCCCTGCTGCGCCGATGCTTGCTGCCGTCGCTGTGATGCTGGTAGAGATTTGGAAGGTTAGCATTGTTCCAATAAAGGACTGAAATTAGTGTTTATGTTCTGCCAATTCACAATAAAAGTCTCAAGCTAAAAACACTAATTTATATTATTCACAGCTGGGTTGTTCAAAGTGTGGGTATTTAAACAGACAAAGTAACTGCAAACATTTAGTCAACTTCACCAAGACTGTCCTCTAATTAATGAATGGTGCTCTCTGGGCACAATTATCAAATATTTAGTCTCAGAGTTCAGTTAAAGTGTGTTAATTTTCAAAAAGTTTGTTATTTCTTTAAGACACTGTAATTCTGACAGTTTCAATATCTGTCTTCCTTCATTTGAATAAATGTAATAGGAAATACTATAAAATATGCTAATGATCTCTCCAAGTGAGTAAAAATACAATATAGCAAATATATGACATATAGCAACAAGGTTCTTGAGGTGCACCACATAATTACCCAGTAGAGTCTGACATGATATGGTCACCAAAGATTCAAACCCGTCCATTCAGACATTTCCACCAAACTAAGAAGTGTGTTAAATAAGGTGATGCAATCTACAATGTAAAATCTCTGTAAAAGTTACAGGTATTTAGGAGAAGCAATATCATTTATTTTACCATTTTTTTTGCTTGACAATACTGGATTTGAGAACAGTTCTGGAGTTGTTTTAAATATTGGATTCAAAGGCCTTAAGGCTCAACATGTGAACTTCCCAGAAGCTGAGTTTGATCACAGCTCTTTTAAAAACACCAGATATCAATTCCTTTTCAGTTGAATAAAGCAAAAATAAACTGCTGCAGGATGAATATTAGAATAAGCCTTAAGAAAACACAGCTATGGTCACTCACAAAAATCTCTTCAAATATATAAATGGTCGATGATTAGTCCTAAAGAGAAGAGAAGATCAAATGCATGCTTCGTTTTATTAGTGGCCACCATCTTGTTTTAAGTTGACAGAGTCTGCAGCTTCATCACAGGAGGGGGTAATCAATGTGAAAGTTGAAATCATAAACAATTAAAACCTTCCACTTGATAATTAGTGTTAAAATGTCTCTACACATTCAGAATGTAAAGGCTCAACTGGAGCAGGGGGTCAATAATTACAATACAGTAGAATATATTTTTCACGCCTACTTTGAAGACTTGGCATTCAGAAGTGAAGGAGCCATCCTCCATCTGATTAAAATTGTAATTCTCTTTAAAGACCACAGCAAGACGTCTCCCATGACGTTGGTGATCGACAATGGTAAAAACGGAGGAAATCAGAAGACGTTTTTCATTAAAATGCAAAAAAAACCTTTCATAATGTTGTGATGTTTCAAATTTAAAATGATCCCTGATTATAAGTTAAATTTGGCCGAAGTAGAACGGTAACTTAGCAGAGAACATTGTACTGAATGTGTATGGTCAGAGGTTCACCTGGCTGGTTGTGGACAGACCTTCACATTCAAATGACAAATGAACTGCAGGTGTGTAAGCATAAGATGCAGTTGTGGAGTAAAATGAGGAAGGCGGCGCTAACATTGGTAGTGGTAGTGTGAGCATCAGCCATAGAAGAAAAGAGAAATGGGGATTGCTGGAATATCATAGTTGCTATGACGAGTACACAGCATGGGTACCTTCACCTTGAAAAGAAAAAATGCTCTCAAGTTGAAATAGTCAATAAAGCCAGAGATGAGGCAGCGTACAAAGATAAAACAGACATTCATTCCACTGCTCATGATATGGTTTATGCTCAAGGTCAAAGAACTGGTTCAGATTCTTCTGTGTGATAACCGTTGAACATCGTTTGATCTCATATGAGTTTTAACCAAATTTGGGACTCGGGGGTGGTACCTTATAAAAACTACCTTATAATGACTTTGAAACATCGGACATACTCCTTTCCAACCAAATGATAAGAAGGACTGGATCACGGTTGATTGGTTACAGAACTATCAGAACTTTGAAGCTTGGGGACAGCTGGGAGCAGGGCTTAACCCAAAGGGATGGAGGATGTGGTGGAAGTGGCCATGGGGGCTCTTTGTTAAGAGCAACACAGCCTTAATGTGGTAACAATCAAAAGTCTTCACATTTCTGAAGAAGTCCCATGACATCCAACCATCAGTGACAAAGTTTTAAGAAATAAAGCCCATAAATGAAGTGTAAAATGAGTCATATGTGGCCCTGTCACACTTTAAGGTAGGATTGAGTTGCTCTTTTGCTGTTAACATATTTTGTGTGTGTGTGTGTGTGTGTGTGTTGTGAAAGACTGATGTGATGAGGGGGGTTAAAGTCAGCCCACCTCTATTACCTATGTTTTCAAAAGTGAATTCTTAATCAGCTGACTTCTGCAGGGGTGGAAGGAGTGATGTAGTGATGATTCATGGTTTGTGTGACTGGGGTGTGTGTGACCAGCAAAAATCACGATTTACAAGCATAAACAGGACTTCTGATGAGAAGGTTACAGGTGCAGAGCTATGTATTTTCCAAGCACTTAGTGCCATTTCTTAGCACAATTATGCAACTATGTTAACTTCAGTTAGAAAAAATGCAATATATTAAATATGGCTTCAAAGAAATTTGATTTCTTAATTTAACGCCTTGAAATTGGGTCTCTGTCTCTTTAAAAGCTCCTGCTCTTTCTGAAACTCTGCCTTCAGGAAGCCATCACAACATGGCTTCTCTATTAACCCTTTAACAACATTTTTACCAGCGTTTCACTGAGAAGCTCCTATAATGAGCTCAACAGATGTGCAGTTCCACCAGGTGTTTGCTAACTGCTGCTGGCTAGTCTGAAGGAGCTGAGTGGGGGAGTCGGGGGTGAGGGCTGCTCTGTGACCTAGAAGCTTGGGAACTGCAGCTTTTAATAGGAGCTGAACCTTGAAGGCGGGGCTAGGTCCACTTAGGTGTTTTGCGCAGCTCAATGGTTGCCATGGGAGATCATAGGATTTCTCAAACACTTGAAAGAATCATGGATTCAACATTAAATGTTGAATCCATTGAACATTTCAATTGAATAGATAATTACTATGCTTTCAAAGTCCTGAGGAGTCCAATCTATTTCTTAGGACTGCCATTTTCAGAGAGAAGGAAAACAATTCCAGTGAGCCTCCAAGTAAATCAAATCAAAGTATATATTCAATATAATACAAAATATATATAAAATGACTTCTACTGATGAGAATAAAAGTTTCTGGAATAATAAGGGAATGTTCAGGAATCATGTTAGAATTTCTGAGTATGCTCAAATAATTGTTTCTTAGAATTGATTAGACTTTCATAAAACCTTCATGCTATCTAAGAGTTTTGCTGAAAAGGGGACTTAAAGTGAAATAGATGACATCATGAGAAAAGAAGGTTTCTCATGATGTCACCACAGATTTTGTGACAGGGGCAATCACACGGGGTGGCATCTAGTTGGCAAGGTACTCTGGCCATAAGTTTCATTTCATTTCCTATTTATTTATAAAACATGACTTTTATTGATGAAAATAAAGTACCATGTCTTAAAGTACCACTTCAAGACATCAACCAAGATGTTAAGGCTAAAGAAAGAGATGGGTTTTCAAGTGGATAATGACTAAACATGCCATCAAAATCTGTAATTTGTGGATCAAACCACTGACAAAATCAGTGGTTTGGACAGATTTTGCCTAACAGTCAGAAAAAAAAGTCTATGTGTCAATACTTTAAGTATGTATACTTTTAGAAAAGCTACTGGTTGGATAACACAATTGATTCTATTTTTTATTTAATAAATTGAAAAAAAAAGGGAAATTTGAATTTATTAAAGATTTTGCGCTTTGGACCTACCATTGTTCTAAACTCCTACCAATCACATGTAAATGTTATTATAAAGCTGGTATGATGCAACATCACTGACCTGATAGTGATGATCTGGCCAAAATCCAGCTCATAATTATTAACTTGTGCAATGAAGATGGCCGCCACAGCTTCATAAAGGGCAGTGCCGTCCATGTTGATGGTGGCGCCCACTGGGAGCACAAATCGGATGATGCGCCGGTCAATGTGATTGTTCTCTAAGAGGCACTTGAAGGTTATAGGCAAAGTGGCAGAGCTGTCGAAGATAGAAAAGAGATCTCATTAGAGAATTAAAAATCCAAAATCAGATTAAATCCTTTCATAGAAAAGATCAAGAGAAAACCTTTTAAAAGATGAGCAGAAACAAATGTAGAACATATGTCTCTAATTGTGCTACTTATTTCTTTACCTGGAGGAAGTGGCCAGGGCTATAAGCAAGGCTTGCAGGATTCCCCGGATGTAAACGATGGGACTCTTTTTGGTGATGAAGAAGTACATGGCAGGCAGGATGAACAAGCCGTGCAACACCAAACCAAACACCACGGTGATGGCATAAAAACCCAGCTTCTTTCCCATTGCAGAGGGATCACTCATCTCCAGGATTTTACCAGCCACCAGGAAAACGATGCCAAATGGAAAGTACCTGGCAGGACGAAGTGTACACCAGCTAGTTCATTTATGAGTGCAAACATTAGGACAACTAGTAAGTGAAGATACATAAATATTTATGACCCTTTCTCACAGGATAAGGACTATTTTATGGCCTCCACAACCACACACTGTTTAGGAAAGCAGATCTGGATCTGCTAATTAATGAAACCTTCAGTGTGAAGATAATTATAATGTTTTAACTCTTATTACTTAGACACTTCGGTTGTTTTGACCAACTTTTTTCAATGCTGTTTCTTCATGACTTGTACATTGTTGCTTCATGTTGCAGCAGAACCGAAATGCCACTGCTGTGGGAGGGGCTTCTCATTTGTTGTTTTCAAGACCATTTTGTGATTTTCTTATTTTTCTCATTTACACACTCTAATGGCACTTTATTAGGTACACATGTTGATTAGATAATGGCAGCAATTCAATGCATTTAGGGATCTACATGTGGTGATGTTGATGTGCTGAAGTTTAAACCGATCATCAGAATCTGGAAGAATTGTAGCTTTTACCTTAATCATCATCTATCAGCCAATCAGAGGAAACATCTTATTCAGGCGTTGGAGCAACAAGTCCCGCCTACTTGCGGTGTTTTGGGGAAACTGCAGCCGGCGATTTTACATAAGAGCTATGGATTCAAAATGTTCAAATGACACACAGCTTTTTATAAACTGTGTGAATCTGTGAGAGCTCTGGGGGAGCCAGCTGCTCTATATCTGAAAAAAAAAAAACTAAACCAAACCATCATCATCCTACTGCTTCCTGTCATCTTCATCTTTTCTGCCAGTAGTAACATTTGGCTGTTTATCTTGTGACTCGTGTGATTAGAAAAGTGTTTCCTTTGCAGTTTTGTGAAATGCATGTATTTTGATACAGCTGAAAAACCACCTCATTCTAGCGCAAAAACATTTAATTGGAAAGCAAGTTATTTTTAAAATTGCTGTTTCCAATAAGCAAATCTAATTTTCTACGTTCAGTTTGTGCAATTTTATGGTGTTACGACTGACGTTGTAAAGTTAATTACAAACATGAGTATGCAGGTGTCTGTCCCTGATTGGTTCCAAGAAAACGACGGAGACGTCCAATTGGCTGCTTCTTGGAGGTGACGGACATAAAAGCTGCTGAAGCGGACTTCCTGTGTTCCATCCTCTACTCATCTCCTCTTTCCTTTGTTCACCTGTTGTCAGAGTTCTGGAGTGTAGGAGTGAGCTGCCATTTATGTTTCCTCAGTTTTCTCATGTTTTTCTTAGTAAGGAAGGTAAGTTTTTGTCCTTTGGTTTATTTACTTTCAATTAGGTAAGTTTCTGTTAATATTTAGATAGTTTCTTTTTGTTTGTTGTTTTCAGCTATAGCTCACTCTGAAGCCAAATACTCTAATTGTAACATCTTCATCAAAAAATACATCTTTTTAAAATAAATAATTATCAACTGTTCAACTTCGTGTGTGTTGGTTGTTGAGATCTGAAGAGGATGGATCCTTTATGTTGCGATCTAGCCATCCCTGGACTGGTCGTAATAATAGGAACTGGAAACGCAGCTGGTATGGATGAAAATCTCTGAGGAATCTTCCTGACTTCTTGCTGAGTTTATGCCACAAAAAATTAAAAGCAGTTTTTAAAGAATACCAACATGCTAATGGCAACATGTGCTTAATAAGCAGTGAGTGACTATCATTAGGTTCAGCAGTGCATTAGTAGCACGGTGCAAAGTCAGCACATTCATTTTAACAATCAAGGTTATGACTAACAAATTTAGTTCATCAGCAACATGATGGGATGCAGATGAAGTAATTTTTTTTTGCAAAAGCTCAACCACATGCACATTTCCTTTTTCCTCTTTCAGCAATAATGGGAAGAAATGCTTTTAGGATCAACTAAAAGAACAGATGAGTGTATAAAAGCTTGTTTTTTTTTGTCATATGTAGACCCTGAGCTGAATCCTCCAGCTGCATACTGCTTTTAGTGATGTAGCGCTGAAACACAATGCACAGCAGCTTTACCAGGCCGTCCCACAATGCACTGCCAAGACCCCAACACACTGCCACAATAGCAAGCCACCGTAGACCTTGGAAGACAAGGACACTCAGCAACCACTTGTAAAAGAAACACTATCTTCCTTCTGTGTTAGCAATCTTTTGATCATAAGGCAATATCCATCCCTTTATTTTATCTTGTTCCAAGCTTGTGTTTTATTTGTTTGCATTTTCTGCACTGTGATAAAATACTAATGAATGTATCACTGATTCATTCACTGATTCATTAAGTCCTCCATGTATTGAAGAAATCTCGATAGAGTTGTTTTGTTCACCACCAGTTTATAAATGAATATAATGTAGCTATTCAACATAAAAAGTTTTATAATGCAATGACTTCATGGATAATGAAAACCAGTAGAATATTTTCCTTGAGGAAAATATTACCTTTTCTTCCTATTGGTCTCAGTTGCTGCTACTCAGTTTCTATTATGATGTCCGCTGAAGGTGGCTCTATTGAATTCAGTTCATGTTAAGATTAATTATGAATAAAGTCCTTGATGAATTATTCGCTAGATGTATTTAATCTGTTTCTTTGAAATTTAAACAAAACATTGAAAGAAAGTACCATATTTCAATGTTAAATTTTCTCTGTACTCCATGTAACATGGAGCTTTAAAGCTGCAGTATGTAACTTTTATTAAATCAATGATTCTTGAGAATAGGGACAAAATGAGTTTACATTTTCCCCTATNATCTGTAATTTGTGGATCAAACCACTGACAAAATCAGTGGTTTGGACAGATTTTGCCTAACAGTCAGAAAAAAAAGTCTATGTGTCAATACTTTAAGTATGTATACTTTTAGAAAAGCTACTGGTTGGATAACACAATTGATTCTATTTTTTATTTAATAAATTGAAAAAAAAAGGGAAATTTGAATTTATTAAAGATTTTGCGCTTTGGACCTACCATTGTTCTAAACTCCTACCAATCACATGTAAATGTTATTATAAAGCTGGTATGATGCAACATCACTGACCTGATAGTGATGATCTGGCCAAAATCCAGCTCATAATTATTAACTTGTGCAATGAAGATGGCCGCCACAGCTTCATAAAGGGCAGTGCCGTCCATGTTGATGGTGGCGCCCACTGGGAGCACAAATCGGATGATGCGCCGGTCAATGTGATTGTTCTCTAAGAGGCACTTGAAGGTTATAGGCAAAGTGGCAGAGCTGTCGAAGATAGAAAAGAGATCTCATTAGAGAATTAAAAATCCAAAATCAGATTAAATCCTTTCATAGAAAAGATCAAGAGAAAACCTTTTAAAAGATGAGCAGAAACAAATGTAGAACATATGTCTCTAATTGTGCTACTTATTTCTTTACCTGGAGGAAGTGGCCAGGGCTATAAGCAAGGCTTGCAGGATTCCCCGGATGTAAACGATGGGACTCTTTTTGGTGATGAAGAAGTACATGGCAGGCAGGATGAACAAGCCGTGCAACACCAAACCAAACACCACGGTGATGGCATAAAAACCCAGCTTCTTTCCCATTGCAGAGGGATCACTCATCTCCAGGATTTTACCAGCCACCAGGAAAACGATGCCAAATGGAAAGTACCTGGCAGGACGAAGTGTACACCAGCTAGTTCATTTATGAGTGCAAACATTAGGACAACTAGTAAGTGAAGATACATAAATATTTATGACCCTTTCTCACAGGATAAGGACTATTTTATGGCCTCCACAACCACACACTGTTTAGGAAAGCAGATCTGGATCTGCTAATTAATGAAACCTTCAGTGTGAAGATAATTATAATGTTTTAACTCTTATTACTTAGACACTTCGGTTGTTTTGACCAACTTTTTTCAATGCTGTTTCTTCATGACTTGTACATTGTTGCTTCATGTTGCAGCAGAACCGAAATGCCACTGCTGTGGGAGGGGCTTCTCATTTGTTGTTTTCAAGACCATTTTGTGATTTTCTTATTTTTCTCATTTACACACTCTAATGGCACTTTATTAGGTACACATGTTGATTAGATAATGGCAGCAATTCAATGCATTTAGGGATCTACATGTGGTGATGTTGATGTGCTGAAGTTTAAACCGATCATCAGAATCTGGAAGAATTGTAGCTTTTACCTTAATCATCATCTATCAGCCAATCAGAGGAAACATCTTATTCAGGCGTTGGAGCAACAAGTCCCGCCTACTTGCGGTGTTTTGGGGAAACTGCAGCCGGCGATTTTACATAAGAGCTATGGATTCAAAATGTTCAAATGACACACAGCTTTTTATAAACTGTGTGAATCTGTGAGAGCTCTGGGGGAGCCAGCTGCTCTATATCTGAAAAAAAAAAAACTAAACCAAACCATCATCATCCTACTGCTTCCTGTCATCTTCATCTTTTCTGCCAGTAGTAACATTTGGCTGTTTATCTTGTGACTCGTGTGATTAGAAAAGTGTTTCCTTTGCAGTTTTGTGAAATGCATGTATTTTGATACAGCTGAAAAACCACCTCATTCTAGCGCAAAAACATTTAATTGGAAAGCAAGTTATTTTTAAAATTGCTGTTTCCAATAAGCAAATCTAATTTTCTACGTTCAGTTTGTGCAATTTTATGGTGTTACGACTGACGTTGTAAAGTTAATTACAAACATGAGTATGCAGGTGTCTGTCCCTGATTGGTTCCAAGAAAACGACGGAGACGTCCAATTGGCTGCTTCTTGGAGGTGACGGACATAAAAGCTGCTGAAGCGGACTTCCTGTGTTCCATCCTCTACTCATCTCCTCTTTCCTTTGTTCACCTGTTGTCAGAGTTCTGGAGTGTAGGAGTGAGCTGCCATTTATGTTTCCTCAGTTTTCTCATGTTTTTCTTAGTAAGGAAGGTAAGTTTTTGTCCTTTGGTTTATTTACTTTCAATTAGGTAAGTTTCTGTTAATATTTAGATAGTTTCTTTTTGTTTGTTGTTTTCAGCTATAGCTCACTCTGAAGCCAAATACTCTAATTGTAACATCTTCATCAAAAAATACATCTTTTTAAAATAAATAATTATCAACTGTTCAACTTCGTGTGTGTTGGTTGTTGAGATCTGAAGAGGATGGATCCTTTATGTTGCGATCTAGCCATCCCTGGACTGGTCGTAATAATAGGAACTGGAAACGCAGCTGGTATGGATGAAAATCTCTGAGGAATCTTCCTGACTTCTTGCTGAGTTTATGCCACAAAAAATTAAAAGCAGTTTTTAAAGAATACCAACATGCTAATGGCAACATGTGCTTAATAA